AAAAATTAGTTCCAAAACTCCATCTCAAAATAGATTTTTAAGTGGTGACTCATTTCTACATGGACACATAAAAGCCGTGTCCAAAACTGAATTACCACCCATTTCTTTTAATGGTATAAGGTTTGACCAGGGGTTCATCTGGGCCTAGCCTCAACTCAGGACGGTCCGATTGGCAGCTCTACTGACATGTAAGCCAAGCAAGGATCGGTGTGGTTCGAACTTCTAATGCCTGACCCAGGCCTACGCACAGCCCAAGGGGCCTTATTGGGTACCCCAAACTTTGAATGACCTATTTAACAGTCCTACTATCCTTGTCATGAATACTGCACTTCTGATGGCGAATTATTACACAATGAAATACAAAAGAAAACATGTACAAAACAACATGGACCTGGTAGGAGTTATATATATCTTTCGAGTCCAATTACAGTATTCCAATTGGTCTCGATTTCCTCTGCTTCCATACGTGTGCTACCTTTATTTCAAGAGTTGTTCTTTAAGATCAAGAGTTCGATGCTCGTAACCTCAGGCAAGCCTCATGATTACTAGAACTAAAGCTACTATTCCACAATGTAGCCTTTGATGAAGATGGCCTAAGAGTTTTTGCCGATTCACCGTGTTGAGTTTCAGTGCTACATGTCCCACTCTAGGGTTTTTTAGAAAGAGAAACAAAAAGCAAATAGAGGTTTAGGAAAAAGAGCCTAGGCTTAATTGGTTAGCCCTTGACAATTTACAATACTTCATTTTAGTCTCAATTTTTACCAAGGGTAGGAGCCCTCTCCCTACCGATTTCACGAAAGGAATCTTCCCTTGAATTCCCTCTCTAGAACTAGCACGACTCCTTTTTCACAAAAGGAGTCTTCCCTTGAATTCCCTCTCTAGAACTCTCCCCGGAGTCCAATTATCTCACCTAGGTGGATATGCTTTTGAAATTAGATAAATATCTCTTAACCATCTTTTTCATTAAATAACACCCCATAACTATATATCTACTTCATCCACCCAACACTAATTCTATACTAAACATCTTCTTCAATCTCTCATTTCCATGGATTATGAAAGAATATATGTAAATAAATTCTATTTGAATAGTACTATCTCACAATCACGCACATGTACATCGTTTTGTATAATCATGTATGCAACTTGGAACACATAAACAAGGTATGCAATGCTTATGATATTTCTTCAGATTAACATAAAATATGAAGTGGCACTAAGTAAAGAACTTCAAATGGACAACAGCTAAATTGCATTTTATAGCTGAACTAGTAGTGCAAAATATCCTTGGCGCTTAATACAGTGACTAATTCACTTCTTATGGGCAATCCGCTTAGGTTGATGAATGGAATGTAGTGTCATATACTAAAGCCCCACTCATTTATTAGAAAACTGCTTTATTTGTTAACCTTGCTTAGGCAGGACCAGCGCCGGGTTACGGCCCTTAAATGTACTACAAATGTGCTAGTGACAGTAGAATCAGGTAAATGGATCTTGGTATGAAAATCAAAAGGGGTGAGGGTAATTTGGTGATGATGGGGTACTTCCCAATACATCCAATTTCAATTAGATGCACAATTCATGTTAATCATATTAGTCAGGAACATCTAATCAACCACCATGCTGAATTGGACATGCGAAAGGTTACTTGAACAAAGATGAGATCGGTCCAGATATTTTCTTTACTTTGTTATGGTCTTGTTTGATTGGATAGATGTAAATATGAACCATAAGAATCCTTACTCCTACTTTGTTCTAAAATGGTTCAGGAATAGATAAAACTCAATATGACGCAGTGAGCTAATAGGTCCAGATTTTAAACTTCTTCTTATAGGAGTGAAAGAGAGGGAACATGATGTGGCCAAAGCACATAGTGGCTTGTCCCATGTTTCCTCATTCCCATCTACTAATCATAGAGGCTGAAAGTGATACAGAGGGAATTTCAAAATGCTATTTTATGGTTTCTTTGATTCAAATACTTTATTGTGATTCAGAACTGCCAACTGAATTCAGTGGCAAACCTAGTGCCAAGTGGAGCAAAACTCATAACAGGGGCTATCTCGGCACAAGCTCTATCAACAGGGGATGAGAGCACGGGCTTCTCCTTCGTGAACTGCAGCATTGGTGGGCGAGGACGCACATGGTTGGGGCGTGCATGGCGCCCTTTCTCCACTGTCATATTTTCTTATACCTCCATGTCTGAAATCATATCTCCAGATGGTTGGAATGATTGGAATGACCCATCTCGAGACCAGTAAGTTGCCATTCTTCCATCTGAAATCAACACTAGAACTGGCGCTAATTTTCTATATTTTCCTATTTCCATCTAACATTTCATATGCTTGTTAATTGCTATATGACTTCATGAAGACGAATATCTCTTACAGCAATCATTGAATGCTCTAGTATCAGTTTCTGAACAGTGAAACATGCATTCAAATGAAGCTGAAATCGAAATGTTTCTCGCCAACTGTTGAAATAATTGACCACAGAAATAAATTACCATGATAAAAAAACTAAAACATAACTAATCAAACTGTAACCTGATCTTCTAATAATCAAATATTAAAGAAACACCAGGAATAGCTACGTTTTCTAAGAGCTCTTGTTACCTATAGCATCAGGCAGATCAACTGGATGTTAGGGAGGTTCCCATTCCAAACCGCAAAGCAATTTGACATAGAGAGGTTTACATACTTAGAGCCTCATGGTGAACAGACGAGGAACGACAGAGACAACTCTACTGCTCGAAATTAATTTGAAAGGTCCACCAACAAATACAATTATTTTATTTTAGGAATAAAATGATACAGGAGAAGAAACCTAGAGCAAACGTATGACAAAAAGGGTGTCCACCAAATCCAAGCACCAGTTGACTACAACAATCTTTGAGACAATATTTCATAAGGTTATGAAAGATGTAGTCCTTCAATTGTAACACTTTAAGAGCAAGCATTGTGACTAAGGGAAACTTTCACAAGAAGCACATGTGAAACTTGTTATTGTAACCAAATGATTATCAACTGCATAGAATATTTGGCCATGTCATACAAACCTGCAGTATGGTTAGGAGTTTGAGATGGAGCCAAAAATACATGACGCATAATTATATGAAGTTTCATGCGTAGATAGGACCACATACGACTTTTACCTGTAGCTACTACACAGTGCCGATGGTTCTAGATGCACATGAATTTACAGACCCTTGCCAAAAAACATAGATTCAAGTCATTGACCACATAAGTTAACATGTCACAGTCCCTTCGCCAGTGCAGTGATGAAGTAGACAGATACCTTCAACATATCAATTAAAGGGTCATGGTCCATTTACTGGTTCAATGAAGTGAATTAGGTGGACTGGTAAACTTTTTTCACACTACTTAGTATTTACTGTAATGCAAATCTGGAGAGGACTCCTTTCTTCAGGATATATTTTTCAATGAGAATTTCCTTTTCATATTTTCCTCTTAGAATTTGCAGAACTCCGCACTAAATTCGTGTAGACAAGGGGAACGAGTGCCACAAGAAGAATGTTAATGCAAGAACTATCAAAATTATTGCTCTTTATGTAAGAGAATAAGCCACAAGGAGCCCATTGTAATGAGAGAAATATTGATCGACATACTAAGATATAATATGCGACGATTGGGTCCGAAAGGATCACGTTGATTGACTAAAAAAACTCAAGGATCCCATGCGCACAATGGTCACAGAATTCCTCATTTGTGGTAGTAGATGTAGAAGAAATATTTTAAGTTATTCACATGAGTACATTCTAGATCACTATAAGAACTAATTTAAAAAGTTATAGCTCCACAAATATTATATGTGCAGCAGTCTACTGTGTGTGTGTATGTATGCATATGTGTTGGGTGTGTGTGTGAGAGAGAAAATTTTGAAAAGTTATAGCACTACCAATATTCATATGGGCAACACTCTACTCTATGTGTGTATGTGCATGTGCACGCGTGTGTATGTGTGTGTGAGAGAGAGAGAGATAATTTTGAAGATTGTGACATGTGTTATTGGGCATCTTAGACATTTGGATCAAACGCATGAGTGAATCTTATAGACATTTGCATCAATGTTATCAAGATCAGACTGGGGGTTTGGTCTAGTGAAAATTAATCCAACCACCAGTAGAACTAGATTTGAGGAAACAAAACAAAAGACAAATAAATATAATCATTCAAAAATATAAGCTATAGCACATTGATTTTGATTAGTTTTTTTAGCCAAACTCAATTTTTTCTTTGGACCAAACCGGCCAAGGCCTTAACATCATAAAGTGTAAAATCAGTTAAATCGGTCGACCGCCAGTTCGGTCCAGTCTTGATAACTATGATTTGGTCCAGTCTTGATAACTATGATTCATTATATCTCGAACTCTCTCTTCTTGGCTACAACTTATTTGTTATTACTTGGTGGAAAACTAGGAGCATATTTTATGGAGAGTACCAGTACAGTGGAAGTGGAGCCAATACAACATTGAGGGTTTCGTACACGCATATCCTCGATGATAGCCAGGCTGCTCCGTTCCTCAACATTTCTTACATTGATGGTCAGCAATGGTTGCAGCCCTTCACAAATTAAATGTGACACTTGTTGTCTAGACTACCCTACCCTCCCCCTCATGTTCTTCCACATATTTCTGCTGGTCGTATTATTTCAATATCTCTCTCTTTCTCTCTCTCTATCTATCTTTGTGTGTGTATGTGTGACATCTCTTGGTTAAGATATATTTTCTTAGACATAGAGGAACATTAAAAGGTGTCTACCATAAATATATTTCCAGTGTGTGCATCTAAGATTAGGTTCAAAAGACAAAAAAGTGGATCGCAATAGCACTCCCAAAGTTACAAACAAGTAAAAGAGAGGTGCCTAAATATTTCAACAGCAAAGAGAGAAATAATATTCGGAAGGACATATCAGTTTAACCATGTAGCATAATTTTTTACACATGGACTAAATGACTTCAACCCTGATGTTAAGGCCTAGACAATTTTACAGATTCTTGAAGCCACAAATAAAATTCACGGAACAACAAAGGTTTGAGATGAACCAGAAAGTTCACTACTGAAGCACTTACTACAGAAACCATTTCGAAGCAGAAAATGATACTCATGATTCAGATGAATATCGAACAAATTTGCAGCACAGTGCATATCAGAAGACAATCTTTCACTTCTCATGCCTATGACCATTAGCTTTGCTTCAGAGGGGGGCTGGAGGTGAAGCATCAGATCTGGAGAAACTAGGCTTTGCAATCTCCACATAGATGAACCTGCCATTCAAATACTAAGATAAAAGTGGATTTAAGCTTTCAAGACACGAAATGTTCAACAAATTCATATTCAAATTTACAGAAGTTTTCAGACCTTCCTGTCCATGTGCTTCACAGCATGGCATCTTCTTGGCATGAGTATTGTATGAAAACATATCCCTTTGACTGCTTGGTGGCCTTAATCTTTGCAAACTTAACTGTTGACACTAGGATAAGCAATCATAAGGAATGGTAATCTTACAAGGATTGCAAACAACCCTAGATCAAGCATAGCTGATATATGAGGCAAGCAATGTCATAACCCATTCCTTCTGCGAGGTGGCCAAATTGTGAAAATACATTACACAGGGTGGTCAAGAGGTAGAATATGACAAATCTGCACCAAAATTATGCCACTTATTGAAAAATAAAATGGATAAGAAACTTAATTCCTAGTACAAGACTGATTAATGAAAGGAAATTAAGACAACATAAATAAATGTTAGGGGACAAACGTAAAAGGAAAAACATTCCTCTATAAATTGTCAACTAGAAAGAATGTAGCTTACAGAAGGATCCACGTACCAAAAAAGAAAGAGACATTGTGGTACCCCAAATATATTTCAAAGGTCAAGAATCAAAGCTATTAAACATAACAAAATTTAATATTATATATTCAACTATTTTACATTTATCTAATATCTATTTTCTAAACTTTTCTTATTTCTTTTTATTTCATAGGTTGCAGAACCTCAACTTTTAGGCTATGTCTCGTATCGTGGACACATGTCAACCATTGAAATCATATCAGTGTCAAGGCGACACTGATCTCAAGCCACCCATGAAATACAACTACTTGCACTTCAATTATGATAATATAAATATCAATAAACTGAGATTTTTCATCCAAATTTCTTTTCAGAGGATTAAGGATCAAACCCTGGAAGTTTCTGGATTCCCATCAATACTAATGGAGAAATCCCCAGAAACGCATGATACAGCTAAAAAGCAAGCAAGGACATGCATTTCAGCTCTCATTTTTAAATGCACTCAAACAAGCAAGGAGTATAAACATCAAAGGATAGCTCAGCGTCTCCTAGATTAGAAGGTATCTCATCTCTCCATCATACTTCAATCTCATGCAAAACATTCCATTCATCCCTTCCTTTGCCTCTCCATGTCTATGTATTTCTCTTATCTGTAGTATATCTAGGATTTCTCTTAGAACAACTAATTGGTCGAGTGTCAGCTTCACTTGACAACACGTTAAAGTGGTTCCACGAAATCTTCTTATTATTGTCCCACACTTTGGCTATGTGCTAGAAATCCAGGCCACTACTCAATCTGGCCAGCATGGCTGAGGACTTCATCATGTTTCAAATTCTTGCTGCACCTGATTTAGCACTACATTCTGAAATGTTGAATCTCTTGATGCAACTTACACTGAATTCCATCTATCCACTGCTCCAACACTAAGATCATCAAGGGGCACTATACCATGTCTCTCCATATGCGACTTATAAGTTTTTGGCCTTATCTCAAATTCCATGATTCTCATTAGCAGAAGGTAACTGCCTCTAGCATGGTACTGATGCCCTCTACCATGGATTGTGCTTTCAAAACGCTTCACCAATCTATCATCCAGAAATAATGTGCTTCTCAAGTAGACAAGCTCCCAGCATCTCGAAAAAGCTTGAGGAGAAGTAAAGCCCAGCAATATACACCGCAGTAGTGATCAACACACAATTAAATTCGGTTCCCACCCTTAAGCTAGCAAATGATGCATGCATTATACCATAAAGTACCTCAATTTATTTTTCATATGAAAATATCCCATTTTTTTGTAATTACCAAAAATGAACCAGAAGCGAAGCGCTATGGCTGGGCAGGGGGACTTGAACTCAATCTATGAGGTCAACTTCTTATGATGCTTCCACCAAGTCAACGAGCTTTGAATTTGCTACAGGCACAAAAGCTGAAGGCGCAGGAGGTCAAAATGAACGTGGTAACAGTTCAAGTGCCGAAGAGAAAGAGTTCCTATCTGGAGAGCGCGGTATTGAGACTCCGGACCAGTTGAAAGCGAAAGTGCTTTGTTGCATTGTTCTATGTTTTATCGCTCTTTAAGGCAGTTGTTCAAGTTTTTTCCTTATTTGAAGCAGCTATTTAAGAGTTTTAAACGCTCTTTTATTACTAAGCAAGTGCAGTTGGCCCTTACTAGTAAAGGGGCTTAGATCAAAGCTTTGGTTTCCTTCTTTTTCGGTAGGCGAGTCAGCTACAGATTGTATCATTTCTTTTTTATTATCAGAAAAGTATCTCATTTTATTTTAATTAGCCAAAATTACCTCATTTCATAAACTACAAAAATTAAGGTTCTTTCTGTTCTATATACTTATAGCTATTATCATCAACTATTTCATTTTGATAGTTTCTGTAGTTACATGGATTATACCTATTTGTACAAAAACATCAGCGATTCCCAATCATTAATACATAGAAGCCAATAAGCATATCTTGAGTTGGTACAGAAATAGGATCTCCAATAGTCGGAGACAAGAGATTCATATGAGTATACATAAGTAAACGAGCTTCTGCTTGAGTTTTCAAAGACAGCAGTATATGAGCAGTTATGATCCCCATCGAAGTCTGCATTAAATCCCTTACAATCTAATGGACGTAAACAAATAGCACATCCCTCCACTAGAATTAATTGGAATTCCTATATGGCTAATCTATGCAAAATAGGTGCTGTATTCAACAATACAGGATGTCCTTCTATAACTTTTTGAAGTATTTCCCATACAATTGGTTCTTATTCCCGAATTTTACTTTTAGCAATCCCTATGTTGGAAGCAACATGTTGTCGGATTAGACCACAAATTAGTTAACCATAAAAATATTTTAGTTAATGGTAGTCTAGTAGTTATACCAAGTTATTATTGCAAATCCAGAGATTTTGTTACTACGAGGGAGAAAGAAAGATCCAAAGATCTGATTCAAAATCATATATTCATCCCCCAACGAGGATTTTCCAAAACATTTGACTCTTTAATCATTGCAGTATAAAGGATTATTAAATCAAATAATATATAGTAAATGGATCCGTTTGAAAATCAATGAATTGTTAGTCGTAGAATATTAATTCCATCAGTCTTAAACCTAAAATTATGATTTTTAATTTTTCTTGTATCAAGGGGTTTATTCATAGGTACTTTTGTTTGATTCGAATTTATAATTGTGTGAATTGTGTAATCTCCAACTACAGATATTGGTAATCGACCCAAAACAATTTGACTATAATTCAATTCATGACTATCGTAGGTGAGAAGCTCATATTCTTTAGTCATTGATTGTTTGAAGACATTTTTCAGCACCTTGGTCCTTGATGTGGAATAAAGAGGATCAATAAAGCGTAATATATAGTGGAATTCTTGACAGTCTCAGAATTTCCCCAGAATGGGTTACAATATTTCTAAGCACTTCAAAAGGCCACTTGCCAAGTTTCGTCGCAATCCGACATGTCTAAGGCAATGCAGACAAAGAAACAATTTTGAAATAATTAGTCTCTAGCATCCTGAAACGAACCCCGTGACTAGAACTATATTTTTGGTGCATCAAATTATTGTGGGACCACTGCCATTGGATCCGATACAGTCGAAAACCCTTATGGGTAAAATACCAAAAAGGGATTGGCCGCACACTATTCCCGTGTGGCCTCCTTGTACCAAATCACCATTAATGGTGACTATTTTTACAATTACGGACAATGAATTTGGAGGCCCATATCTCATTCTTCCTAAGCCAGATCATGTTCAAATTTTGTGAGCGTGTTCGTCTCATCAAGATGAGCATTTCGATATGTGGAATGGCCCTTGACGATGTCCGAGCAAGGAGAAAAGCTAGAGAGAAGTTGTTGATCCGTGAAAAACGTTGCAGAAAAATCAGCAGCAACATGCCTCGCTTGAGCGGCCAAATCACGGCGCTCACAGATCGGATTGACATGATACTAGTTCCATTGTGTGCATAAAGTCTAGGGCTATCTCTAATCTGAACTCCGTATATGATGAACGGTCTGATTTTGCACACGAAGCCAATAAAGTGACTAAAAATTCTGGCACCGAAATTCCAGATTCCGGCCAAAACTCTAAAGTTGCGAAATATTCGTCCGGGTATGAAATCGAGCTGCGTTTGTTGCCATGCGATCATGACAGTATGCTTAGTGTGACCCAATGAAGAAACCATGAATAAATATCAAGGAACGAGCACACTATCGAACTGTAGTTTTCACGATTCATCCAAATTTCACGTCGCATGATCGTGGCTTAAAAATACGATCCGTGACTCGAAATTGGTATCAAATAGATCGCCATGCCCCGCGCAACAAGAGAAAAATCATCTTTCAGTCGAACAGGCATCAAAGTACCCCCGGATCATCCACGAAAGATCATGCAATTTCTAGGGCAGCAATAGGGACTGTTTTTGAGTTCCATATATTGTTGGGCAGGGGCAAAACCATCATTTAGCACCCAATTTTAAAATTTTTTTTAATTCAATTAAATTATAATTATCATCAATTTAGGTAGTTTTTCGACATATACCATGTTTGGAATCAATTCTATAAGTACATGTTAAACACAACTGTCATGGAACCCTTTATTTTTCAATACTCATCAGTAAAGTTTGAGTGTTTTCATGTTCAAATTGTGGGCACGTCTTAGAGAGAGAGGAGAGAGAATAAAAGGTCTGGTACCCTTTGGTGAAGGTAAATTTCTCTCTCCTTCCTCATCTCTCTCTTTCTTTCTCCTCCTCTCATCTCTCTCCTCCTCTCATCTCTCTCGTACTCTCTCCTCTCATCTCTCGTTCTTTCTCCTCCTCTCATCTGTCCCTTTCTCTCTCCTCCTCTCATCTTTCTCTTTCTCTCTCCTCTCATCTAGATCTTTCTTTCCTATTTCTTCTCTAATCTTTTTTATCCACTTCCCTTTTTTTTCTTTATCTTTCTTTTCTCTTTCTTTTTTTTCTTATTCTCTCTTTGTTCTCTCTCCTTCCTCTCTGTTCATGCATGATGAAGTCTATCACCTAGCATTATGGCTTCTTGCTTCAGGGACACGAACAGTGATCCGGGCCTTAACCTAAGTGACGGGCTGGGTCCCTGTCAAAGTTCCTTGTTTTCCCTTTTTTCATGAACGACAGATGCTCATCACTGCCTATGTTTTCTCTCTTT